GAGTATTAATTTTAATGGATTTTTGCGAAGAAAATAAACAATTCTTTATTGCAAATAAATTTAACTTAATTTAATTTAAATCTCAATAATTCAAAAAAAAGTAAATTATTATTTATTATTTTCCTTTTTATTTCTCTTTTAAATTTATCTAAATGATTGGCAAACAATTTATCAAAATTTATTTTTGGACAATTGACTTACTACTTTGATAGTCTTGAAGACAGCTGATTATAAGTTCGGCACTTTGACACTAAATTTATCCCCTTCAGGGAAAACTAACTGTATGTAAATATTAAAAAAAATTCCCTTTCTTCAGCATAACACTCGCGAATCAGCTCTTCGGATAATTTCCTCTGCGCACAAGTTGTCGGCTCGATATCCAAATTTGCCTGCAGTGGTTAGAGGGATTACTGGCGGGTCTCACAACCACTGACTGCGATACTGGTAACAAAAGTTACCCTTGCCTCCAGGTCTAAAAACCGCCCAAAAACCTTGAGGAGTTATCGCGGCAATGCCTTTGCTCCTGATGTACCTCGTCTTCTTCTTTGGCTACCACTCGATGTCGTCTTCTTCTTCCGATACCGCTCGATGTCGTCTTATACTTCTGCTAATACCCAAGCTCGTATCTTTATTTTGTTCTCTAACACTTGGTAACCTTTCGTTTAAGGCTACTAAATTCACCTCTACTGAAAAGGTGGTTTTGAGAAGCAAAATCGTCCCTTTTTTCACTTTAAATTCGACGTTTATCTTGCGCACAACACTTTCACGATCCCGGATTTCACTTGTGGGATTTCGAACACGGCGGGTTTGTGAGTATCCCACTTCTGACAACAAAATTTTCCTAGAACGCGCAACTCAATTTATTGGCGCGAAACTTTGGAATATTTAAATGTTCCTATAGAAGTTGGAATCGTTCACAATTAAGGGTATAGAAACCCAACCCATTGATGAGATCCTCTTCGAATAGAAATTCGGTGCCAACGTCGAATCGAATAATCTATAAATTTTATACCGAAACTTCAAGAAAAATAGAGAAATGAAAAGCAAAAAGGCAAAAAGAAACAAATGCAATTAAAAGTCAAGTAGTTTGGGTTTTACATAAGAAAAACGGTTTATTCACTCTTCACTTTTCACTTTTCCGCTCTAGGTATGCGCGCGCCATCCAGGTTGGAAATTTGCCTGGTTCGAGCCGACTCAATGTTTTTGGAATCGTTTGCAATATCATAAGTATAATTATTAATAGAGATATTGAAAAAGAAATTAAACTTAAACATGTTACAATAATTAAACTTAGGTCGCTATTAATCAAATTTATAAGGATATTAGCTTTCGTTTCTTAATCTCTATCTTTGTCCCTATCGCTATCTCTATCTCTATCTCTCATTGAATTAAAATGTAAAAAGACCTTTTTGTATTTCTTTTAAGAAATCTCACTATCAACACTCATACATCGTACTTACAACAATCGTTTAATTTAATTATCATTCTTAAAAATTCCAAAAGTTTATTATATTTAATTATAAAGTTGATTAATCTATACACTTATATGAAAATAGTCGTCGTTGCAAAAATGTTTATGATTTATAAAGGATTACATTTGTCAAATTTGTTTTACTAATGTTGAGTTATATATTGAAAAAGCAATGATAAAATATTAGATATAAATTAATTAAGGGCGAGATTGACCATTGCTATATGTTATTTTTAGTTTTATTACTTTTACTGCAGGATTTGGGTTTTTACTCTATTTATTGCCTTCTAGTCTGATTTCAATTTCTATAAAGTCATAAAGGGATTTGCAACCCGACGATTTCAAAGCATTCCTTCTAACTGGCCTAAAATAACAAATTCGGGAGATGAGATAAAAATTTTGTTTTCCCTATTTTCTCTGATTTAAATTTTATAAGAAAACGAAGAGAGAAAGAAAAGACACACACATATATATATATATATATTTATTTCCCTCTTCTAGTCAAATTGTCCAAAGCGTAACTGCTTGCCAATCATATTATTTAATTAATTTAATTTATCATTATTTCACATTTATTCTGATATTCAAAATTTTGCCGCGCTTTCGTTTCCCGCGGTAGTGCTGTTCTAACGGCGAGCTCGCGAATCTTACGCGCTCGTTACATAATAGAATTCTTGGCGCCATCTGTAGGCGACAAAACATGTATGAGCAAATATCCACCTCATTGAGTGTCGATAATGAAAATTCATATCACTTTGAAAAAAAATTTAATTTCCTAATTTTTATTATCTATTATTACACCTGAAACCTTCTTTTTCGTCATTTTTCTGACTTACTTTCTATTTCCTTTATATTTCCTATCCTAATTTCATTTAATTTCATATGTTAAAAAAGTAAACAAAAAAAGTGTAAACAATAACAAAGGTCTGTTTACGTTTCAAATAACAACTTGGACATGCCCTTAAGAGTTTTTCATTTATCAACGATTATTCTTTTATTTTAAATTGTTGGATGATATTTTGATTTTTTCCCGTTTTCTTTGATTCGACTTATTACGTATGGGGGTAGAGAGAGAAGGCCAAGCGTCTTGAGTGTAAATGTGCGAAGGATGGAGTGAGAGACAAGAGACGCGCATCTAATTTCACGGATTTTTGTTGAAAGCACGTGCTAATAACTTGTTGAGCGGACATTGTGGTTTTTCGTACCGAGAACTAATGATCGTGTTGTGTGTATCGAGAAGTAAACGACGCTTTGACGAGAATTGAATTGAAAGATTATTCTGAGAAATTGCGTGTTCATAGAGAGACGATTTGTTAAAATATAGAGAGTTGTTATTGAGTGTAATTGAAACTTATTTTGAAAATATTAGTATTATCGTTAGAGTCGAGAGTTGAACTGTGAGAGTGACGAATGTAGAGAGTTCATATACTATTGTACGAAATTTAAGTGAAAACTTCCAATCACCAGCGTTCCTTGGATGACATTAATAAATTGAGTTTGTTTGGATTAACCAGCGCCTTTATTTTAATTGATCCTTCCCTGCCGGAAGAATGGACTGAAATTGTACTGGGGAATTAGTATTGAGAGCTTAGTGCTATTTCAGTGAAAATTTGCTGCGTTTCAGCACTGAAATTGTACTGGGAAAAATTACCTGCAAAAGGGTCGCTATCGGTGATGTTTTGTGGGGAATATGTGGGGAATTGTCACTATTCTGCTATTCCCTTCTCTCTCTTTCAAGTTGCGCAGACGCACAACCGAGATTAGTAACTTCTCTCGTCGTTGTATTTCATACTACTTTGAACTGTACAGTCAACTAGTCGACTCCGAGATTAGAAAATTTATTTATATCAGTTATTACTAAACGAATAAATTAGTAACTAAATTAATGAGTTATTTGTTATTTAATTCAAGTGGGAACCTACCTTCTGATTCTTTTAATATAGTAAAAATAAGTTTTATCCTACATTGGTGACCCCGACGTGATGTCAAAAAACAACTCATCATAATCGTGATATATCCTTGTGAATTATCACCATCAAAGTGAATATTTAATGGAAACATAAAAATAAGTTTCCTGTGAATTTCACAGTAGAATTATTACCATCAAGATTCTACTTCGTTATGGAAATTTTTACAATTTTTTCACGACCGCATGGCAATCAACGCCGTCGCCATTTTGAATAATTTCGGAGTTCATGACTTACCAAGGATTATTTTCCAAACTCGAAGAAATCTAGGTAAAGGAGGACACCTTTTTAACTTCTGCACAATCTCAACCTGTTTTTCGTCTCTTCAATTTCGGCTGTTCCTGTTATTTTTTGTTAACGGCGCCGATCCGGACCATGATCTCATGCTGAATCCGATGTCTTGGTGAGAGATTGATGAAAATTTTGTTTTTATTCTTTGGAAAACAGCGCATGGGCAAAACACTCTGCCCATGCAACAGGTATGTTTCTGTTAACTTTACCTGGTTGCCAATAATAGTTTTCCGCCCCCATACATGATTTCTGTCTCTTTCATGAAATTTCGGAGCAATTTTTGGAGCCTGGCCATTTACACCAGTCAATTTGCTGCGAACTTCTTGCTTCTCACGGGAATTTCTCGAGGATTCTTCGAACGAGGCATTTTTTTTCTACGAGACGACAGACATGGAATTTTTTTTTACATCTTTGGAAGCATCAACTTTGAGCGGAGATTTGTAGCATTCTGGACGACGCTGTTTTTCATAAGTATCATCGTGTATTTGTCTTTTAAAAATTTTTTTTTAACTTATTTTTTTCACAATTTTTCGAGAAATAATTATTTGTTTCGCACTTTAAAATTAAACTTAGAAATCTAAACATTGCTTGAGACATTATTGTCAATATTAAAGAAATTTTTTTCTCTTCGACGAAAATATTAATTTCACGATCTCATTACGTGATAGTTATCGGAAAATTTTTTCCATCAAAATAAATTTAAATATTTTTATTTTTTATAAAGAAACATTACATTAAAAAACTTTAAAAATTCTAAAATTTTATAATTTTTGATCTTCATTCATCAAGATATTGAAAATTACATTTTGTAAAAGAGCTACATCTTGTCATCATTTTATTATAAAAAATTGATCTACAGTACTTTGAAATTATAAAAGTGACTTTCAGTACTCCGTATTTTTTAGATAACATTATTTGTATTGTTCTTTTTATTTTTTTAGTGCGATTAATTTTATTTTTCTCATTTTCGTTAGAAATCTTGTGTAATAATTTGTTTCGTAAATTCGAATTTTTTTAAATAACGAGGAAGTGACAAAGAACTCGGGTTGATTTTTGTGACATTTTTAATTTTTGAGTGGGGACATTCGAGTGATTTATTATAGTAGTTTTTTATTTCGAATTTAATTATGAGTAATCGAGGTTTTGTTTTTGTCTCTCCTGACGAAATAGCCGAGCGTGGGGGGCTTGGTCGATCGCATGCACCTCGTAGTTTTGAGGGTCGTTTCGGGGATTCTTCTCATCCGGGTGTCGCGATGCAGGCTTAACAGAATATGAATCATAGAATTCCTAATTTACCACCATTTATTCGTTCTGACCCTTCTTTATGGTTCGCTCAGATCGAGTTAATTTTCGAGTCCTACGGTATTTTTTCGCAAAGAGCCAGGGCCGGTACGTTGGTTTCCGCCCTCGATCATGAGGTTGTTCAAACATTCGGCGATTTATTGACTAATAATAATCATATCGAGAATTTATATATGGAAATTAAAAATCGTGTAACGGAAAGCTTTTCGGTTTCACCTGAAGCTGAATTGAGAAGCGTTTTACGAGGCGAAATGGTCAGCGATGGTAAACCATCATTAATGCTCAGTAGAATTCGACACCTCGGCCGCGGTAAATGTAGTGACGAAGTATTAAGGTCAATTTTCCTCGAACATCTTTCTGCCAGTTGTCGCGCGATTTTAGCTGTTTCGGATATTAATGATCTGTCTCGTTTGGCTTTGATGGCCGATCGTATTGTTGCTTATGACCCCTCGGAAAGAAATGTTTCGGCAATTTCAGCAAACTCGGAAATTATGAATAGATTGGGCGAACTCACTACAAGACTCGACGAAATGTCAACCAGATCTCGCAATCATTTCAAATCTAATAATAAAAATCATTCCAGATCTCGATCTAAATCTCAATCTCGAAATAATCAGTCTCGCGATCAGGGTTCAAAAGATAAGAAATTTTGCTATCTGCATTATAAATACGGCGATAAAGCTTATCGGTGTTACAAACCTTGCTCTTATAAAAGTAATTCTGGTAACGGTAAAACGTCAAGCGATAATAATTCGGAAAACTAATTTCTCGGCCCTACCTTGAGGCAATAGGTGCTATGGAAAAGTCAAAACGCCTCTTCATTTATGATCAAAAGTCCGGTTTTAATTTTGTCGTGGATACAGGATCCGATATATCCTTAATTCCCGTCGAAGCCAAAATCAAACAACGTCCAGCCAAATTCGTTATTTATGCTGCAAATAACTCGCAAATAAATACGTATGGCGAACGACGTCTTTGTCTTGGTCTTCGCCGTTCTATTTTATGGAATTTTTGCATTGCAGACGTAGCCTATCCGATAATTGGGGCTGATCTGCTCTCGAATTTCGGGTTTACCATTGACCTTTTGAATCGGAAAATCGTTGATCCCTTAACTAATTGCGAAACTATTGGTAGGATTAAGGACGTTTCTTTTTTAAGCATTAATACGATTGAGACATCGTCACCTTTTGCAAAGATTTTGTGATTTCCCGAAAATCACCGGATTGACTCAAGTATCTCAAATTCTCCCGAGCGAAGTCGCGCATCATATTTTGACCACTGGCTCGCCTGTTGCCGAACGAGCCCGAAAATTGGCTCCCGTTAAATTCTCTGTCGCGAAGTCCTGGTTTCAGGAAATGGAAGAGTCCGGTCGTTGCCGTCCTCCTTGCGCTGCTTGGGCTTCACCTTTGAACATGACCTTATAGAAAAATGGGGAATGGAGATGCTGTGGGGATTACCGCAGACTCAACGCCTGCACCATCCCTGACAAATACCCAACTCTTTATCTTCAAGATTTTTCGAGTATGCTTCACGAAAAAAATATCTTTTCCAAATTAGACCTTTTTATGGCCTACAACCAAATCCCTATCGCTACAGACGACACTCCAAAAACTGCCGTTATAACGCCGATTGGCTTATACGAATTCACCGTAATGACGTTCGGTTTGAGGAACGCCGGATCCTCGTTTCAACGCTTCGTTAACCAAATTTTTAGGGGTCTTGATTTCTTTTTCGCTTACGTGGACGACATATTAATTGCTTCATCTTCACACGAAGAGCATGAAAATCATTTGAGAATTGTTTTTAAACGTCTTTCCAATGCTTCGCTTAAATTTGGCCAAATGTCAGTTCGGTTTGTCGGTGATTGAATTCCTTAGTCATATCATAGATAAAAACGGAATTAAGCCAACTAACGAAAAAGTTCGAGCAATTAGCGAATTCCCTAGACCGAAATCAATTGTCGAATTGAGGCGATTTCTCGGATTATTAAATTTTTACAGACGTAGTCTTCCTCACGCCGCGGAAAATCAAAGACCACTCAACTCTTACCTGCACGAATCTCGTAAGAATGATCGTCGCGACATCGCGTGGAATCCTGAAGCTGTCTAAGCGTTTGAAAAATGTCGTTCTAGTATCGTTAACGCGACTCTCCTTTTCCACCCTGATTGTACAGCACCCACCAGAGTAGTTTCTGATGCCTCTGATTACGGGATGGGAGCCGCCTTAGAACAGTATAGAGAGGGTTGTTGGAAACCTTTTTCTCGCGTAATTTTAACTTTGCTCAGAAAAACTATAGTACGTACGATAGAGAATTGACTGCGGTTTTTGAGGCAATTAAATATTTTAAACATTTTTTAGAGTTTCGAGATTTTTTTGTAGCTACCGATCACAAACCTTTGATTTTTGCATTTAAACAAAAATCTGACAAGGCTTCACCTCGTCAGATTCGTCAATTGTCTTTCATTTCTCAGTATACAACCGATTTTCGATACTTACTTGGGGATGAAAATACCGTCGCGGATAGTCTTTCCCGTGTTGACACCATCCGATTAGCCACTGATGTTAGCTTCGTCGAATTATCAATCGCTCAAAATGAGGACAATGAAGTAAAAACCCTTCTGGAAAATGGATCGTCTTCACTGAATCTTAGTCGTTTACTTTGGGGTCCTGATCAAACCGCCGTCCTTTGCGATCTTTCAAGTGAAATAATTCGTCCATATATTCCTTTATATCTTCGTAAGCGTATTTTTGAGATTTTCCATAATCCGGCTCACCCCAGTGGAAAGGTTACAGATCGAGTGATTCGTAAGAGTTATGTATGGGAGGGAATGAACAGGGATATTAAGGAGTGGTGTAGGGGTTGCATCGAGTGTCAGAAGTCGAAAATTTCTCGCCACAATATCTTACAGCCTTCTCATTTCATTGCTCCCGATGGGAGATTTCGCCACGTTCATATGGACATCGTTAGTCCTTTGCTAAATTGCGATGGATATAGATACGTTTTGCCCTTGATTGACAGTTTTTCCAGGTGGCCGGAGGCTATTCCTTTAAAAAACATCGAAGCAACAACTATCTATCGCGCTTTCGTCGACGGTTGGATTTCGCGTTACGGTACTTCCGAGAACCTTTACAACGGATCAGGGAAGTCAGTTCGAATCCAGGATTTTTGCATCCCCTCTTAAATTATCCGGATGTCACCAAATTAGAACCACCGCGTACCATCCTGCCTCCAATGGCATGGTTGAACGCTGGCACCGCACATTGAAGGCAGCGATTAAGTGTCATACCGGTCACCAATGGATTAATGTCTTGTCTACGGTTCTCCTTGGTTTGAGGTCAAACGTCCTTGATTCCGGCTCGTCCCCTGCAGAGTACCTGTACGGGACAACCCTTATGATCCCCGGGGAGTTCATTCTCCCTGAAGAATTCGCTCCTGACCCTCAAATCTTTTTAGAGGAATTTCGTCAACACATGCGATCGATCAAGCCTGTTCTCGTTGACCACAGACACAAGAGAAAGATTTTTGTTCATAAGGATTTATATTCTTGTTCACATGTTTTTCTAAAAGTTGGAACCATTAAGAAGTCCCTCGAGTGTCCTTACTCCGGTCCTCATAAGGTGGTTGATCGCGTCTCGGATAGAATCTTTGAAATCGAAGTGAACGGAGTTAAACGAAGAGTTTCGGTAGAAAACGTGAAACCTGCGTTCTTCGTCTCTTCCGAATTGTCTCCTGAAAGTAATGTAGCTTCAAATCATTTTTCTAATGTACCTAGTCCCTCAGTAAGTTCTCAGGACAATATTCTAAGTCAAAATCAAGTTTTAAAGCCTATTAAAACGTATGTTAACAAAAAGAAAGTCACTTTCGATTTGTCGTTAAAAAATTAATCAAAAATAAATTATAATTAGCTTTAATGAGATGGCCATCTCCAATGTAAAAATATTTTATTATTATTCGACGACAATCTTAATTTTTTCCAAACAAAAAGAAAAATATTTTTTTACTCCTTCTTGAAATTATTTTATTTTATATTCTTAACATACATGTTTAACAACAAAAATATTTTTTTGTTCAATGTAAAAATAATGGTTAGGCTACGATATTATTACTATTTTTTGTAAATACGACGTTTATTTTTTTTAAAATTGTAATTGTTTATGTTTATCGTTAATTACTTGGGGGGGGGAGTATGTGGGGAATATGTGGGGAATTGTCACTATTCTGCTATTCCCTTCTCTCTCTTTCAAGTTGCGCAGACGCACAACTGAGATTAGTAACTTCTCTTGTCGTTGTATTTCATACTACTTTGAACTGTACAGTCAATTAGTCGACTCCGAGATTAGAAAATTTATTTATATCAGTTATTACTAAACGAATAAATTAGTAACTAAATTAATGAGTTATTTGTTATTTAATTCAAGTGGGAACCTACCTTCTGATTCTTTTAATATAATAAAAATAAGTTTTATCCCACAGTTTATGGCCTGACCGTCATTAAGTTGAAGGAAGAATATTTCTTTGTTAATGTTAAAAATAATTTTTATTTATATTTCAACATTATATTTGTTATTCATGAACTCATATTCTTTACAAGTAATTATTATGTATGCTAAATATTCATGTTTATTTATTTATTTTAAAACATAACGGGACATCCCCTTTCGTACATAACGTACTCCTAATTCTAATAGTTACATTTGTAACATATAAAAACAAATACAATATGAAAGTTGGCGCTTTAATAGTTTAAGTTCGGTATAAATGTAAACACCATTTTAGTGAATCTTGTAGTGTAATAATGAAAATGAAGTAATATAATAAGATATTTTTGTTTCTCCACTGAGTTAGAAAATTAGTTATTGTAGTTAATATTACAGTTTAATAGAAGAGTATCAATATAATGTTATTAAACGATAAATTATATATTTGTTTCTCTGTCCAAATTAATTTTAAACAATTAGTAAAATTACATAAAAAATAAAATTCTAAATGAAATAAGATGTTTTAAACGTTATAGAAACTGTAAAAATATTTTTAAAATTAAATGAGTAACATAAAGATTGTTTGCTTAACAAAATGTTATTTTGAAAAATAAGGCACAATACTCTAAATAAGTTTAACTAAAAAATTCCACACACAAAAAATTTGCTGAATACATAACACTGAAGAGAATAATGACAGAAGAATTAAGCCAAAACTAGGTATTACAGTTGGATTGGCTAACTGTTTACCCGCCAATCTGAAGTGTGAGAGTAGAAGTACGTTTGCGGGGAGGGATTTTAATAATTGTGGGGACTCCACGACGAAAAACCAAAGAAATGTTTGCTTCTCCCTCTCGTCGACGCACAGCTAACTGCTCCTTCACTCTCTTGATCTCCTCCCTCTGCATCGTCGTTTTATCATTCGACATCCATAAATTCTCCAAGTCCGCTGATTTTACAGAGTCCCTTTTAGCAGCCACGAACGATCGCAAAATATGTTAATCTAAATTAAAAAATAATATTTGTTTTTACGTAACAATTAGAGTTTGCGAGATAGTTTATAACTTTTTTAATTAAACATTTTTTATAATGAATTTTAGATATTTGTAATCATAAAACATCACAGATTCAAATTTTTTTGTTTTGAAAATTGAATGATTTAAATTGTAAACTTTTTAAGTCATAAAATTATAATCCCATACAACAATAGGCTTTCGGGTCTATTGTTAAAGCAGGGGTTGCAATATAAGTTTAAAATTTAACGGGAATTTCGTTAAAAATTTTGTTAACCTTTTTTTATTTTCACTTCTAAACTGTTAACAATGGTTTGTTGACATAACCTACATTTGAAACTATTGTTAAAGGTCTTTAAAAATGTCTACCGAAACATTAAAAAAAACGGACTGAAATTGTACTGGAGGCCAGTACAATTTCAGTACTTTTTCAGTCCATTCTTCCGGCAGGGTTTCTACAACGGTGAGTCAATTAAAAAAAATTTTTATTGAAATTTTGTGTTTCACGCCATGTGCTTTCAATGGCGGTCTCAGCAGTAATTCACCCTCAACATTAGAGTCTCAAATTTAGTATTATTAGAGTTGTAAATTTAGTAAATAAATGATCTTTGTTATTTTCATAATTTCAAGTTTAAAGTAAAATAACTGGCGCTCAACTGAGCATTTTCTTTTGTTGAGTAATAATTGTTCGTGAGAGAAATGAGAATTAATTGCTGATTAGATTCGAAAGATTATTTGACTTATTTATTTTCAAAGAAAATAGCAAATAAATTCTAGGAAATTATTAATTGAGTAATTTGAAATTAAATTTAGAAATTTATTAAATAATTTAAATTAATAAATTCCCTTGGTCACATAAATAATGAAGTACTCATTTTTCATGGATTTACATTACATCAATTTGGCTTACCAAATATTGATAAAAACTTCTT